ACAATTGTTAAAATTTGTGTAGATAAGTAAATGTGTTACTTTTTAGCTAATTTATTTAAACCTTACTCTTTTGTAAATTTTTGGATGACATCAAATGTTGAGTCAAAATATATCCTTGTTGCTTCCGTAGAATTCAAGTATAGGTTACTTTGTTCATGTTAAATGTATTTTTATTAATATAACCAAAACTGTTTAAAGGAATTTTTATCGTAAAACTCAGAAAGGTACTACATTTGTTTTCGTTCCAATAACAACATCCTTCCAGTCCTATCACTTATGAATTATTTGGTCGAAAGCGATATCCCGAAGCAGAAAAACAAGCTAAGAGCTGAAAACCAAAGCTGATTACAAACATTCTAAATACTTGGGGCATGAATAATGTAAATTGCACTCTAATACAGGGAAATGAATCACCTGTTTAGAATCTTCTTCAGCCTCCTTTGCTGACTTAGCATAATTCAGCAGGACCTGCAGCAGAAACAGAGTGTTTACTTCCAGATCAAAAAACTAAGACTAATGTGTAGCAATTAAGGAGATAAACCTATTGATGTGTCTCCATCATTCTAATGACTACAGAAACTGAAAGCAATCCTGAGCTAAAATCTTCATAACTCAAATTACTAATCTCACGAGTATTTTCTTTCATCAATTTCATTCAAAAAAACTACACCCAAACCTTCCCAATGTTCAGCAAATACTCGATCAAACCATTTCATTTTTTTCCGAGTGAATTTCGTCATGCAAAAAGCAGAGTTATCATATTTTCACTCCATGAACACATTACTCACAACATGATACCAAATTTTTATGCGAAACCCTCGGTTGATTCTTCTGGAGTTTAAATTGACACCGGTAAGGAAATAGAATCAGTACCTGAGTGATGAATTATTTTCCGGTGACAGTATGAAGGATATCAAAGTCTATAACGCCAAGCTACTGAAGCTTCTGAACCAATGCGACTACATTTCGATCCGATAATCTCACACTTGACTTCACCTGTTGGGCAAACTCGAACTAACGCTACAATTCCAACTATACATCATCCATCTCCCTCGCGTTCTCACCGGAATTTGAGTCTCAGATCATATTGATATCGTCGATACAAAGAAGCGTCAGTTTTTTTTTTGCGTCAGTCCTCAGATTCTTTTGATTATATTCAAATACCGTATTAAGTATCTTTCCTCAATTGAATTTACTGGTTCAACGTAAACCGACCCGACCGGGTTTATCTCGGAACACCTAAATTGTTTTGTAATTGAGGGTTTTGATACTTAAAACAAAATAAACCCTAATTCTTCAGAAAATCAGAACGGTTATTCTTTTCTCCTCTCTGCTTTAGTTCTTCTTCGCCGTAGCTGAATCTTTGTCTTGGATAGTTTTCTAATCTGATTAGGAATCATAATTTCTTCTAGCCTCCTAGAAATAAGGTTTTGACTGTAGAATATGAGCTACGATTTCTGAATTTTTATTCACTGAAACAGATTAAGCCAAAGAAGTCGCTACTCTTGGAGGCATGGAAACCAGTATCGATTGGATACAAAAGAAGGTATATATTGATGTTGCCATTAGATATATCTTGAATGTTGAAGAAGAAGACGAATTACTTGGTTTTCTTTCCCTCTGTTTGTAAATGTGATAGAATATGATCCAATCTACATACGGTAACTCATGATCATACGTAATAGGCTTTTCGTTAATATATCTAAAAACTCTTTCCGTAGGTGGTGGGACTGCATCGCATTGCCAGATGATGTTCATCCTTTTGATGAAGGAGCGTTGAGGATGGAGATTAAGAATTTTGCATGTACGGTATGTGTTTGAGTATATAAGTTGAATTTGCTTGCCATGTTGTGTAGAGATTACAAATCGCCATTTGCATCAATATCAAATCCTGACTGTTTTGCCAACTGAATTATATTGTTTTATCTCCGGTATTTGGAGCTCCTGAAGACAGCCATATTTGACAAAGAATGTGAAGCTCGTATCCCCATCATCATTTTGATATATGTTGTACCATTGTTTCTTTGTTTCATACTTTACTCACTAAGGGTCATTCCTTGACCCTAGAAAGTTTTCTCACTCGAAATCTAAGGGAATAGCATCGGCATGTTTGAGCTGAGTAACCTGTAAGAGTCGTCAATTCCTGTTTATATCCTTACATTTACAATGAATTTACCCACAATATGTTTGATCTTTGGCGGAGATTTGGTGGTAGCATTACCAGTAGAGGACTATTTCTTGTATATTTATGATCTTCCTGATGCCGAAAAGGTGTGAACAGAATAACGCTTTCGGCCCATTCTTATTGTTCTTTGACCAAAATCTATCGACTCTTACCAGTTTTTTATTCTCATTATCCTAGGAAGAAGCCGAGGAAATCACGAGACTGTTTCTAGATGCTCTTGGTGATGAGTATTCGGTCTATTGCCAAGGTTAGAAATGAAAGGAACATTGTCACCATAAAACAGAGGAGTTATGTAACTTGAAACCAAGATTTGACATTATTATGTTTAGGAACGGCTTTCTTCCCTCTACAGAGCTGTATGAACCATTCTTGTCGCCCTAATGCAAAAGCCTTCAAAAGAGAAGAGGTATATTTCTAACATGTCGTCCTCTTTATGGTCTACACATCTCAAGGATTAAAATTTTTTCAACAACACTTTGGGACTGAAGTCGATTCATCCATTTGGAACTCTTTTTTACTTGTGGGTTTTGCAGGACAAAGAAAAACAAGTTTTGCGAGTTTTGTGGGTTTTTTACACTGATCCGGATTTGAACAGTGTTAGAAGGGTGGG